GCCGGACCCCCCGGGTGCACCGGCACGGTGCGTGGGCTCGGTGCCAACCGTGCCGCTTTGCCATAGGAAAAGGAAATGGGAGATGGTTTAAGAAGAACTTGGCTCCCACCAGATCTCGCTGTGATTCTCTGACATCAGCAGATTTCGGGACTTGGGAGGGACCTGACATAAAGGCAGGAGGCTCTTGCTGCCTTTGTATTTAAATGTTGACTACTTAAAACTTGATCTCTTTGGAAAACCCGGCCAGTGATTTGCCTCACCCAGGAAAGCATAAAGCCTGATGATTCTGACTTGCCAGCTGTGGGGACGAAGGCGTATCGGAAGTCGTAGCATTGCTTGTAAGACAGTGCCATACCGATCAGGAGGGTTGGCACGCAGCACAGGCATTTCATCTGGTGTGTTACGCACAATAACTGGTTTACTTACAACAGATCTTGGCTGCGTCGCATGTTCAAATAGCCAGAGGAACACTGCTCTCTTCAAGTCAATGTGTGGGCTCTGTGCGAGGCTGACGAGGAATTCAGTGACGGTTCATCCAAAACAGGCATCTGTACCTGAGGAGAAAACCTTAAGCAGAAAACCAGGAGAATGGAGGGTTACACTTTATGCTTTCATTGCAGTCTCCAATTACTTTGATTGTCAAGGGTTTTGAGCAGTAGTCAGTTGCTGAAAGTTATCTCCAGGTGTTTGTATTTACAGGTAATAAAGAGCCATATAAACTTTATACTTCCATAAATATAAATTTGACTTGCAGTTGATTTTAGCCTTTGTCTGCAGCAGATGCTCATTTAAGCAATGGACTGGGAGAGCTGGACAGGCCAGCATGCCCGGGATGACACTTGAGGAGAAACAGAAAGGCGAAAGGGTGAAGAAGAATCCAAAAGATACGTGCGAACAAGGGTTAAAGCACGGTGGCTTCAGGGAAGTTAGGGAACTGAAGATTCCCAGGAGAGGGAGAAAGGGAGAGGGAAGAGGCAATGGGTCCAGACAGCACAAGCTGTAGACACTTTAAGAGGTTTTGGGAGACCTGAACCCCGAGGAGCAGAGAATGAGAGTGCGGTGTGGAATTAGGACAGCAGGGAGGTTCAATACCTGTTTCATGTAGAGCAGATTTTGCATACAAGGCGACAGTGGAATATGAACGTATGCACAGCTATTATTCTAAGAACAGCTTATTCAGCATTTATTCACTCTGAATAAGTGGCTCGCTCTCTTGCCATTCAGACCTGCCCGTTACTGAGGTAAAAAATAACTTACACTGTGGCTTAAAACCGCAGAGCATTCATGGGTACTCTTTCCACACTTACTCACCCATTAATACAGAAGATACTTTTGACAGTTGCAGGCTGACGAAAAAACCTGAGAACCCGTAACGTCTTCAGCTGTGAATCATCTGATGCTCCAAAACTACTATAGTTATAACCCCAGATGCTTATAAGCAAAACACTTGACCTTTACTTTCCCAGATCAGTTTGGCTAAGACACCTCCAGGCTGAAGAGTGAGCAGGCTGCTGCTGCTATTGAGGACGTGTGATTTGGTAGGTTCCCACCACCTGAGCTTAATGCTTCAGTGAGGGAGGGCTGCTGCCGAGCTACCAATAGGCTAGTTGAGCATTTGCACAGAGTGTGCAGGCTGATCGTGGAGGATCTCGTTCATGCTCGTACCAGAGCAGAACGCAGTGTATAGACTGCGTGCAAGAGGGACAGTTGTCCAACCCACGCCCAGCTGCTGGCTCCCCTTTCTTGTGCCTTACCGGCTTGAGGCATATGGGCCTTTGCGAAGGTACGTCTGCAAATTCCTCTGCACAGGTAACTCCCATGGACATCACTGGAGGCTGTTGGGGTGCTGGGGACAGGGAAATATTTATTTTTGCAGGAAAAAAATGTCTTCCATAAGGCACTGCAAGGGCCATATATTTATTTATTTTATTTTTTTAATCTGCCTATTTGGTTTCATGAAATGTTCCCACATTTTATAAAATGAAGACTGGAAAAGAAGATAGGAATTTCTTAAAGGAAAAAGGCAAAACCCAAAAATACCCTCCAAACTGAATCATTGGAAAATGACTTTAAAATATTGCCATGATGTAGGGAGAAAATGGAAACATTCTAAGTAAAAAGCATGGCATTTTCCAAAAGAAATTGTTTTCTTTGGAAGAAAAAATGGCCCCTGCAATACTAGGAGTCTCAAGGGATTGACTCAAAAAGTTACAGTTGGATTCTGCTCACTGCTACCACAAATAATCTTTGACTACCTTTTATCACCGACTAACATGCTACCTCTAACTTTTCTGAAGAGTGGCGTTCAAGTTATGCAAGGAGAAATCACTGCACGTCAGAAATTTAGAGGTAGAGGATATACGTAGGAGACGTCTGCGCTGTGGTCACAGCAGCGTACTGCAGAGACGCCCGAGTTTGACTGCCACTAAACAGCTCCCACGCTAGGAGCAATCTCGCTATGATTGCACAGACCGGGGTGGACTAATTTACCTTGACTTGTCAGTCCATCTCTATCTCTCTCCCCAGTCAATGAAAGAACCATCAGTGAGTTCAAAACCTTCAGACAGACCTTGAGGCATTTCTACCCCAAACAAGACATTAACTTCTGATATTTTGGGGTGCTTTGGGAACTCTAGTAAAGTCTACATGTATCAGACAAGTGCTAGTTTCTTAAGGTCCCACTGAAGTGGGCCAATCCATTTATTAGAAAAGGAGCTGAATTAATGTTACAGTGCGTTGCGTTCCTTTTTGTATGTTTTAAAGCTAATAACCCTCCACTGATGCATAGATAGGTACCTCTCATGCAGCAAAAAGCACAGCTTTTTTGTAATGTTTCAACTGTACTTCCCCAAAGCCTCCTGATCTCAGTATGTCTCTGTACCACAGGAATCCTGGCAGTAAATAAGGAGGAGGAAGATACTGAAAGATTTGCTTTTTGCTTACTATTCCTGAAGTTTATTTTTCATTAGTCCTGTGTTCAGCTGAACAAAAATACATTTATTTCTTAATAGTTATAAATTTTTTACTATTCTAGTGTCTATTACTTTTTGAGGTGATATATTTTCAGGATGATATTGAAAGGTTCCTGCAATTCCCAAAGTGAAATCGTTAGACTGGAAAGACAAATGCATTTGCTTATCTTTAAGTTGTGAGCATTTCTGTTGTATAACATGAAACTAGTCAGAAGTAAAAATATAATAAGTAAAAAGAAAATGGGAAATATCCATGTTTTATACAATAAAATGAAAGAAAAAGATGAAGGATGAATGCAGCAGAAATAACATTGAGCGGCTTATGGGACATCATGCGTGCCTAGCAGTTTTGAACATTAAAAAAGTTAGTCTCCTTTAGAAAGTATTTAACAGAGGTATTAGCAGATTGTATTTACGGCAGAAGTTAGTATTTGAGGAGCCCTAAGCATTTTATGAAGTGCCGGGTTGAGAATGCTGCGTGTGTCAGACAACTAGGTCTTTTACACCAAAAAAGCTCAGTCATTCCACTGCAGAAGTCTTGCAAAACATTATTTTGGAATGTTTTGGAATAGGAGGCACAAGAGCAAGGAATCCAGCTACGTTATCAGCTGCGTTTCCGTTTTTGGTGAGGCTAGTATTCACTAGGATTGTTATTTACTTGTTTATAGCACTTGTGCATTGTTATTATGTAGTAGAAGATATAGCCCCCATCTTCATGAACTGACAGTCTTAACACTGAAAATGACCTGGGGGAGAATAGAAATAAGTAGGGAGGGTTGGAGTATGGAAGAGAAAGTACCACAGCATTATAATGACATGAAAACAATTAACACTAGTAAGCTGAATAAAACAGATAAAAATATAAAAATAAGCATGACAGGGAGATTAGGGTAGAAAGCTCAGATGACATAAAGAAGCTTATTTGGCTTTATCTACAGAACCTGATG